GGGAGTCCAGTGCACGAAACAATAGGCCATCAGCGACGGCACCGTCGCCCGCAGAGCGCTGCGGGTCGCGTCGGCGTCGGAGCGTCCGCAGACGTACACGAGCCTTCCGGACGACCCGGCGGCCGCCTTGTCCCTTCTGACGACGAGCGGCGCCAACTTGACGCCGTCGGTGGATTTGCTCGCTGCGTGACTGGCCGTCGTGCCGTTAACGACGGGCGGCGGCGGCGGCTGCTTGTAGCGCCGCAGAAACAGCTGCCACTGCACGAGCGGCCGCTCCTTGAGTAGATGCGGGTAGGTGTGCGACAGCTGCAGCGCCGTGTCCAGCACAGACTCGTGCTTCTGCAACCACTGCAGGCTCTCCGTGTACGTCATCTTCTGCTTGCCGCCGATGCGCGCGCTGCTCGACGCCGCCGTACTGCTGCTGCTGCTGTTACTGGTAATGTTGTTGTGGCTGCTGCTGCCGCTGTTGTTGTTGTTATTGTTGCTGCTGCCGCTGTTGTTGTTGCTGCTGCTGCTGTTGTTGTTGTTCATCTCCTCGGGGGAACGCTGATGCGGCGTCGGCGGACCGGTTCCTTGCTCTCGGACGGCGAGTCGGGTCTTCGAGGGACGCGAGGTCGTGCCAGCTCCCGTCGCTCTGCTCATGGTTTCACGCGCGTCATTCCTCCGCTGCTGCTGCTGCAGACGTCGGCGTACGCAGCTTCCAACCCGTGCACGTCGCTGCTGTGTGCGGTAAAGGACGAGCGCGCCGCGGCACCGACGCAGCTTCACTCTTGCGCGTGCGCGGCTCCAGCAGGCGCGCGCGCTGGGAGAGCGGCGTAAATTACTCACGCCTGCCGCCGCAGCTGCCGCCGCCGCCGCCGCTGCGCACCACCTTCGTCATTCCACAGGATTTCACACCAGAAGCATGCGTGCGTGCGCGAAGCCATTTATAGCCCGCCAAGCTGATAACATCGGTAATCATCGCCCTTGCTCAATAACTCCGCACCAGTTTCCATGGAAACGCGGACGCGTAACCGGGGCTGACCTTATAATAACAAAGCGGCGTGCCTGCCATTACTATACCCATGTATTAGCCCAATATTTAAAATACTCACGCGACTCGGCTAGGGCACGACCGTGTACTGTTGTTGTATTTGCCGTGGCTTTTAGGCCGACTGCAGCCAGCGTCCGAATCGATACACAGCCGATATGGCTTCCGTAAACAACGGCAAACAATGGCGCTCGTGATATTTCAAGCTACCGAAAAACTGGCCAGCACGCGGTTACTGAGGGCGCACTCTGTCGTTATGTTTACCCGCCTTCGTGACATCTCAGTCACGAACACGGAAATTCGCAAATTTCTACCAGCAATCGTGTGTACGATTTAATAGATTTGAGCAATATATGTCTAGACAGAATCACGAGTGAATGAAAACAATTATTTTTATTTATTTTCATTTATTATAATTATTTTATTTATTTTGCTGTTATTTACTCCTGGTATAATGTAAAAGGCCACATTTTCAATATTCTATTGCATTTTGGCAAATTAGTAGATACGTTCGCGCGTTCAATTAGCGAAAAGCGATACAACGTAACGGATGCTAATAAGTAGACACAGAACATTCCTATTCCGTACCTAGACCACAGCGTTCAGTAGCTAATGATTTTTGTTAATTATTGTTAATAAATATGCGAAAACCTCCTTTTTTTTATCAAATCACGAACTTGCTACGAGCGTACTTCTATGCTTTCCGATATAATCCCCGATTACTTGGCCCCACACGCATGACGGCACGCTCTTGTATTTACGAGTGTAAAACTGCACGAAGGTGTTTGTATTTGCTATGTAATAATCAATGCACTAGCACCTGCCTGACCAAGTGATTAGTAAGCACGGGCGACCTTCGCGCTCGTATGACAGCCCTCATTACGAGTGGCTTTGTTCATAATTTCACCTTTTTCCCTCCTCGACATGAGCATTGTGTTATGGGACTTAGAGAGGAATTTCGCCAACAACAGAGAATGGCGCACTTACTGATCGACGACCGAGTAAATGCTTAACGCGTCCGTGTGAATTTCGCACACAATTTCTTTTCTTTTTTGTAAAACAGAGAGATCTGGCATCAAGCGCGTTGTTAGTAGCAGCCATTTTACTCATGTGGCCGAATGTAAACAAAACCCTAGCATTTACGTTAGTGGTGATTAAAATGTTATGAGACCTAGTGACGATTAAAATGTGTTTAATGTAATTAAATTAATTTGTTTTTATTTATCCATAAGGTAATGATCGTGTTGAATAAATAAATTTAATTTGCAGGTGCATTTTATACACCCGTATATCTGTGTAAACAATATATAATATATAAGTTACAGTAATGTAGAAATATTGAAATTATACACATGGATGGCCCGATAGTAGGCCTATTCTTTATTATTATGAGAAATAAATATTTTTTATTCAATATCTAATGAAAACCCCGTAATCAGTGTTTTTATTACACTGTGAAATAAAGGCTGTGACCATTATTCTGCCCTTTGTTGCGATGATGTTATCTCTGCTAATCAGGTTTTGTTTTGCAAGCGACAAGCCGATCGTGTTAAAAATTTATAACTGCATGATTACCTGTAATTACAGATAACAGGTAGCAAAAATTATTTAGAATTCACCTGCCTCACTAATAATGAGACGTAAACGTGCGCAATTGTTTAGCATTTTTATGATAATGAATTAATTATAGACGGCAGGTGAGAAACAAGCGAACGTCATTAGCGCAACCAGTCATGACCGATCGAAACAGCTGCAGCGCATGTCTGCAATTTTTGATGAAAGTGTCAATGACACTGTAGCTTACCACAAAAAAGAACACAAATGAGTGAGTAAGAAGAAGTCAGTTTTAATGGAGCAACCATCGACGTACATTATAGAAACGATTGCCATCTGTATATCGCAATAATGTGACCGTAGATGTCGCTATACCCGCTTTGTAGCGATGGCGTTTGAAATAAATAGGTTATGCTGCGTTCCGACATGTTTTGTAAAACTTTACTCTAATATAGACGTTTTATCGGCAGGGTGGAGAGGAAATACCAATTTTGCATTAAAGATATTGTCAATGAAATCTTGTGAAACGAACCAGACGAGTGTGACACCACAGACTGTTTGTGTCTATATAATATGCTATATAATTGCCAAATCCTACCTAATTTGCATAATTTTTGTTTAAATATTAAAACCCCTCGCCCTCATTCATTCACATACCAAAAATGAGCAAAATCCGTTGAACCTGAACTGACTAATGGCAATTCCCATTTTTGCCAAAAAATCGCCGTGGCTCGAAAGTGCGCGGACTGGCGTGCTCCAAAATAGGACGTTTAATATGGGAGCATAGCAGTAACAACTACACCCAATTTCAAACATGTGGGTCAAACGGTTCCTGAGTTATCGTTGACCGAAGCCAAATGTTGACGGACGGACGGACGGACGGACGTACGACGGACGACGACCCATGGCAATAGCTCAGCTTGACGATGTCAAGGTGAGCTAAAAACGGCAGCATCCCGCTCGGACACAGAAGCCAACACACGCATGAAGACGGAAAGCTTCTATACACGGGCACTTGAAACGTTTCAATAGTAACATGATGGTAAATAAACAAGAAATGTATTAACTACCAAAGTCTTAATGTATCTCTCCTCTATTTCACCTATTAATGCCGATAACTTCGTGTTGCCGTTCAAAT